GAATATTGTTTAGTGCGGCGTTAAACAACAATCAAACAAAATACCACAGGATGTTGGCCTAACGGAAGGAAGCCGAAATTCATGCAGATATTCGTCAGTATTCGTCATTATTATTATTATTATTATTATTGTTATTATTATTAAACCAACGAGCACTGGTAAGTCGCTGACAGCGAGGGAGCGAGTTTGGTTTTACGCCTCCGTTAGCAATATTCCAGAATATTCCAGCAATATCACGGCGGCAGACACCGGAAATGGGCTTCACACATTGTACCCACGTGGGGAATCGAGCCCGGGTCTTCGGCGTGACGAGCGAACGCTTTAACCACTAGGCTACCGCACAGCCCCAAGTTGCTTACAAACCAATTGTCATCATCTGTGCCAGCCTGATGTACAAACACACCGTCATACAATCCTAATATTCCCCAAGGACACACGCATTGCGACTTACGAAACAATGCAAACTTTACCATAATTGGCATTAATAATTCAACAGCGTCAAGCCATGATCGACACGATAACAGAGTTAATCATCAGTAACCCAACGATTACGGTCTTGAAGGCAACACTTAAAGGTCTTTAAACTTTATATTTTATCTGTTCATCCATCTGCAGATATAACCCTTCGCTGCAACTCCAACTGAGTAGAGGACCACAGTCTACTAAGTTTGCTTTCCGCAACATCAATATATAATTATGCTGAAAGAAATGCCTGCGACCCTAGGGATCGAGACCCTTGTTTATGCATCGCTCGGGGACTGTTGGATATCCGCTGTTTGTCTTTGTTGTGGTGGTAATCTGGCAGTCATAGATATTCATGATGATGAGGAAGTGAGTGTAGTTTTACGCCGCGTTTGGCAATAATCCAGCAATATCAAGGCGGGGGACACCAGAAATGGGTTTTACACATTGTACCCATGTGGGGAATCGAACCGGGTCTTCGGCGTGACGAGCGAACGCTTCAACCACTAGGCTACCCCTCCGCCCCTATGGTGATGAAATGTAACCTGTGTATCTATTTTGACACAAACAGTATAACTATCTTGATTAAATATGTGTAAAGGTTAAGATTGTAAATGATATACTTAAATTAATCAGTAAATTATCAATAATCAGTTAATACACTCTTACAAGAATGAAACGCAGAGGTGATTTTGAGAACTCATTTAGCTGCGGCAAAAACAATACAAATATACTATTTCTTTCCAAGACGTCCTCTGTGGGTGATTGTAAACAGCTTAAGCGCCAAGACGCGGAAATTATAAGTTTGTCCTTGTTTTAGAAGCGTTTGATGTAATATTCGCCAAAATGTCATCAAGAAAACACGTAAAGCAAACTGCAAGAGCGGAAAAGAATGCGGTATCGATCACTATGAGAAGGCACAATATACGATACAGATTCATGTACCGTTGTCAATGCTTGACAACTGCTTGACAACGGTACAAGAATCTGTATCGAAACGTCGCACTCACGAATAAAAGAAGTTGTTATCCATAGAGTTTGTTCTATATTGTACTTCCCAACTTCTAAAATGCCACTCAAAGAAGTTATGAGAAGGCAAACGTTGTGCTCAATCTTGTCATTCGTTTTTGCCTGGAAAAGACTAAATCATCATGCCACGACTGAGTGCCGCCAATCGAAACATCGCCATAGGCCGCCTTGAAGCTGGGGAGTCGCAGTCTGCAGTTGCCCGACATTTCAATGTTCATCAGAGCACCACATCTCGCCTTTGAGATACCACCACGTCCAGGACCGCTACATTCGGGCTGCTCATGATCACTTGCGTCATCGTCTTGCCACAGCCGCGGAGACTGCACAACGTATCCCTGGTTTGAGAAGAATTTCCGACCAAACTGTCAGGAATCGATTTCTTCTTCACCTTCGAGGTGGAAGACAGCGTGTTTACCGTCGGGGAAATGAACGTTTTGCCCCTAACTGCATTCGACAGGTCGACAGATTCGGTGGAGGCGGTGTCATGGTGTGGGGTGCTATATCCAACACACACAGATGTGATTTAGTGGTGGTTCCGGGGAATTTGACAGTTAATCGGTACATCAACGAAGTCCTTGCACGTCACATGCTTCCGATTATGGACCGACAGAGGGAGTTGTTCCAGCATGACAACACCACTTCACATACAGCACGCGTCACGGTCCGCTACCGTGCCAATTCTAACGTCAATGTCGATCTAAACCCGATAGAACACCTATGGGATGAACTCGATCAACGTGTACGTCAACATCCTAACACGCCTTAGACACCTCCACAACTGGCTATTGCATTGCAGGAAGAGTGGGGACGGATTCCACCAGAGTGACTTCGTCAACTTATCCAGTCTATGCCCAGACAGTGCCGAGCAGTAATTGCTGCCAAAGGTGGCCATGCAAAGTACTGCCTTTGACGCCATCTTGTGGAGTCAAGTAAACAGAAACACAACAATAAAAGCTGTTGTTGTGTTGGCGAACTCTTTGTCTATAGACGTGTGATTTGTCACCTTTTTACCATTGAAATTACATGAAATATTTGCTCTTAAGCTAACGCAATAAAGTCTTCTAAAACTGGCTTATGCGTTTCTATTTTTGAAGAGTGTAAGCAATTACATGTACAAAAAAATAAAACTTTTAAAAGGAACGATCGTATGACTGAAAGAAACACAGTAAAACATAAAAATAACACTTCTAAGTCCAACAATGCAGTTTTAGTCGATGAACATGATATATGCAACATCCCCAAAGGCACAATGGTGAAATGCAGGTGCTCTGCTTCCAGTTGTCTCCGGTCCACGCAATAAAACGTTCGACTGCACAGAGAGTTAGAGTGGAACCCTTCTGTGTTCCTTTCAGTATACTATGAGATCTGGGTTATTGTACAACTCCCATGTCGATTGTCTGTTTCTTTTAAAACGGATTTAGTTGTTGTTGACGCATATCCATTAAGTGTTTGCTCACTACAATCAATACTGGAAACTGTCATTCCACGTAAGGATATACCCAGTGGCTTAATGGTTAAAGCTAAGTGATACTCCACACCGAGATCGATCAGATACGATGATGCTTGATGTAACAGTGAGACTGAAAGTAGTCAAATGCTTCACAGTGAGAAACGTAACCTGGCGTGAGTAGTACACAATATCTAAGATATCAGCACTGGACATGAGTGAGTGAGTGTGTGAGTGTGTGGGTGTGTGAGTGACAGAGTGGGTGTTGTTTATTTCTTCAGTCAGCAATAACCTATAAATAATCTAGGCCAGTGAATGAGTGAGTGTTGTTTATTTCTTCAGTCAGCAATACCCTATAAATAATCTAGGCCAGTGAGTGAGTGAGTGAGTGAGTGAGTGGGTGGGTGGTTGAGTGAGTGGTTGAGTGAGTGAGTGAGTGTTGTTTATTTCTTCAGTCAGCAATTACCTATAACTAATCTAGGCCAGTGAGTGAGTGGGTGGGTGGGTGGTTGAGTGAGTGGTTGAGTGAGTGAGTGAGTGAGTGTTGTATATTTCTTCAGTCAGCAATAACCTATAAATAATCTAGACCAGTGAGTGAGTGAGTGAAGTTTTACTCCGCTTTTTCCAATAACATGGCATCACACATTGTCCCCTTGCGTTAGCAACCATTAATAGTCAGTCCTAAAAAGAAATGATGGTTCAAGGTCATAAATGATAATGAGATGCTGCATTTTATTGTATCCAGATATATTTTGTCAAGATAATAAGTAGAAGATCAGGCAATGAACACCACCCCCGGAAACTAACCGTGGAGAAGTACTAATTATTTAATGCAAGACTTGTATTCTGTGTATCAGCTAAAATTGTTTCTACAGTATGCTGTTGTTCAACTGTTGTCAACGATAATGTGACACACGTGTTTAGTTTTTGTACTATTAATATAACTGATCGAAATACGCTATTCAATACCATTCTTTATTCTTGACGTGAACATTGTTGCGAAGATCAGGGAGCAAGAGGATGACGTTCATCTTCAGTGGATGTCCATTAGATTATGTCATGGAAATAATTTAGAAAGCGAAGGTTTACCCGAATTTATAAAATAAAGCACTTTAAAAGCAGATGAGGTCATATTTGCTAGGAAAGTTTTATGTGTATGAAAACGGTTAAATAACCCCTAATGCATGATAAATATGTAACTTCATTATCTGTTATATGTGATCTTCATTTAATCTGAGGGAATAGTGAGTGAGTTGAGTTTTACGCCGCTTTTAGCAATATTCCAGCAATATCACGGCGGGGACAACAGAAATGGGCTTCACACATTGTACCCATATGGGGAATCGAACCCGGGTCTTCGGCGTGACGACCGAACGTTTTAACCACTAGGCCCCCTTAATCCCTGAAGATAGATATATATTTGTTCACCTGTAATAATAAATGCCCCATGGATTGAAGAATAATTTTTTTCTTAAATTTGTCATTAGGTATAATGGTGTACAAAGCTGAAAAATCAAATGTTTTGCCAGATCTGAACTCGGACAGATTCTTGAGATTGTATAACTCAAGCAATTCAAGTTTTGAGAATTAAAATGATAATGATTCTGTTTGTCTCAGATACCTTCAGTGAATATATAGAAATTCCTTCCATGGCAGTATAGCACAATGCAACAATATCAATTTATTGACATGAAGTTGTTGCATAATTTGGTCACCATGGTATTCTTATCGATTACAGTATTTAAAACGCGTTATGCTTGTTGACCATAAAAGTAGAGAATTTCCGTGTTCGATTTTCGAGAGGTTATTATAATATGTGAAATACTAGCCGAGCACTCTGTGTCTTTTAATCTATGATGATAGGAGATTAAGTATGAGAGTTTAATTGGAGCCGTGTTGCCATATTGACATTTAAAGAAAGTATGTTGTTGATAAGATCAAACACGATAACGCACTCAACGTATTTGCATAAGCAATTAAAGTTAGTAGTTAAATAGTACATACTTCATAATAGATCACTGTAACTGAACTTTGATCTTTAACATACGTTTTGATTCTCCTGTTCAAGATCCAATGCAGTGCATGCACTGTTTGTTAGACGACCGACCTCCCATAAGTGAAGACAAGAGAATATTTGATAGGAAGGTAAGTTGTAATTTTGATTCTGAGTTCTTATGTACCCGTGAAGATCTGGGTTAGAATGAACCTTCAGTAACCCATGCTTGTTGTAAGAGGCCACTAACGGGATCGAGTGGTGAGGCTCGCTGGCTTGGTTGACACATGTCATCGGTTCCCAAATGCGCAGATCGATGCTCATGACGTTGATCACTGCATTGTCTGGCCCAGATTCGTTTATTTACAGACCACCGCCATATAGCTGGAATATTGCTGAGTGTGGCGTAAACCTAACCTCACTCACTCACTGACTGATTTGCTTGCCTTCTGAGACCCATGAAGAAGGTTAGAATTGGTCTTCAGCAACCCACGCATGTCGTAAGAGGCGGGATCGGGTGGTCAGGCTCACTGACTTGGTCGACACATTCCATCGTATCCCAATTGCGTACATCAATGCTAATGACTTTAAAGCCTGGATTGTCTTGTCCAGACTTGATTACCGAATGTCGAGTACTTCATTATACAGTGCCGTTATGATAATCATTAAGATTATCCGTGGGTGCTCGTTCAATTCTCCCGATTGTTATGTGGACTGTTGTGACGAGGCCTGTTGGCCAGTCATTGTTAAGCTACCGCCGATGCGTATTTTCAAAATTTCCATCACTGTCCTGTTTTTCACGCCCTGTGGAATCTGTTTCGTCGTATATCATCAGGTTACTCTCTGACGTGAATGTTGTAACGTCGTCACCTGTTCTCCGACGCTCACTCAAGTTTTAAAAAGTGAGTTAATGAGTGAGTCAATATTTATCGTCACATCGGCAATATTTCAGCCATGATGCAAGACAATACAATATAAAATTTTCCAAAATGTGCCTTGATGAGAACTGAAATACAAATAAACCAATATGAGTGAGTGAGTGAGTATGGTTTTATGCCGTTTTTATCAATATTCCAGCAATATCATGGCAGGGGACACCAGAAATGGGCTTCACACATTGTACCAATGTGGGGAATCGAACCCGGGGATTCAGCGTGACGAACGAACGCTTTGACCACAAGGCTACCCCACCACCCAAATAAATCAGTGATGGTTCATGGATCAGTGTATTTGTGCAGCACAGTTAATAGATTGTTTACATTGACACACAGTAAGTGCACCTGTGAGATGATTTGATTACATTAGGAATATCACAATGAATATAGTCAATTCCCAAGATTGCTGTGTTCGAATTAAGTGTTCACGGTTAAAATGAGGTTATTCATTATTCAATATTATCTTGACATTGAGTAACATATGGTTGCCAGTGGTGTTCGTTGTTGACAAGCTTGGCTTTACTAATTCAGCTGTTTATTGATTTCAACAAGTAGCACCATCCATCAAAGCGTTTTTAAATCCGCACAAGTGCAACATAGTGTTTGTAGTCATTAGTGGATGCTGATTTCAAGAAGATGAGGCTCTTGTTACTCTTTCTGTTGTATGTTTAATTGGTCGTTTTTAAAGAAAATATATAAGTCTTCTTTATCTGAAATTATATGTCGCTTTTGCATGGGAGTAATTTTGTTAAGTGCTACCTGGAAATTTTCTGTTAATTGTCTTCTGTATTCAGTAATGTCTGCGTTTGAAATATCATTGGGAAAACGTCTACCTGTGAAGAGCAATGTTCTGTTTTACAATACCCGTGAAGATCCGGGTTAGAATATTGATCTTCAGCAACCCATGCTTGTCGTAAGAGGTGACTAACGGGATCGGGTGGACAGACTCGCTGACTTGGTTGACACATGTCATCGGTTCCCAATTGTGGAGATCGATGCTCATGTTGTTGATCACTGGATTGTCTGGTCCAGACTCGATTATTTACAAACTGCCATATAGCTGGAATATTGCTGAGTGCGGCGTAAAACTTAACTCACTCACTCACTCACTCTGTTTTAAAAATATCTGATTGACTGTTGGATCGATTGTTGGATTGTTTGATCAAATGATTGTTGCATTGATTGATTGATGCCATTCATCAAATTTTTCATACAGGTGCAGCATGAAACAACAATGTCACATTTATGCGTTATTGTCATTAGAGTATTTGATTGTAGATAAAAAAAGCGATACATCTTTACTAGATCACCCGTTAAAATCCAGGTTACAATTGATCTTCAACAACCCATACTTGTCCACTAATGGAGTCGGGTAGTCAGGCTCGCTGACCTGGCTGACACATGTCATCATTGTATCACAACAGAGATGACACAACTTCATGGATGATCAACGTCTTTATTTGCATAATAGCGACGTTTCGGTATAGCCACCTATAACGTTTTCAAGCATTTATGGTAATGATGGGATGCACCAGTATATATACAAGATACATGTACATATGATAATGAGATAACAATAACAAAGGTGGGACAACATAGCATCAAATAACGTAACATGATGCGCTACGATAACATGGCAATCGTATCACAATTACGTAGATCAATGCTCATCACTGGATTGTCTGGTCCAAACTCGATTATTTACGCTCCCATGTTGTTTAACAACAAAACAGCAAACAATCAGTCATATTTCAGAGGTGGATTGTAATCAGTGGGACCCGTGAAGATCCGGGTTAGAATATTGACCTTCAGTAACCCATTCTTGTCGTAAGAAGCGACTAATGGGATCGGGTGGTCAGACTCGCTGACTTGGTTGACACATGTCATCGGTTCCCAAATGCGCAGATCGATGCTCATGACGTTGATCACTGGATTGTCTGGTCCAGATTCGATTATTTACTGACCGCCGCCATATAGCTGGAATATTGCTGAGTGCGGCGTAAAACTAACCTCACTCACTCACTTAATCAGTGGAACTGTTTCATATGTTGTGTTTATCATTCATATACACTTATTGCACGTGTAGTTTCTGCTGCCCAATAGGCAGGGGTTCTTTTTCCACATTTTCGATAAAAGAAAAGATTCGTGGACTTATTTCAGTTTTTGCATGTCCGTCCGTGCTGTGTTATACAAAGCTAGAAACTATGCTCATTATGTCAGCCATAGGATTTTCTGGTCATGACTCGATTATTTTCAGAAAATCCAGTGATCAACATCATGAGCATCGATCTACGCAATTGGGAAACGATGACATGTGTGAACCAAGTCAGCGAGCCTGACTACCCAATCCCATTAGTTACCTTTACGACAAGCATGGGTTGCTGAAGACCGATACTAGCCCGTATCTTCACGGGTAGTAATATTAAGGGGTAACAAAACATACTCACGCTGATTTATTGTATTACAAGTTCTCAGGACGTAGCACTTTTAGTGAAAATGGAGAGGGCGTCGAAGAGTGAGTGAGTGAGTTTAGTTTTACGCCGGTTTTAGCAATATTAAAGCAAAACCACGGCGGGGAACACCAGAAATGGGCTTCACACATTATACCCATGTGGGGACTTGAACCCGGGTCTTCGGCGCAACGAGCAAACGCTTTATCCACTGAGCTACCCCACCGGCAAGCGTCCTGAAGACAATATATCCGACGAAACAGAATCCATTGGGCGTGAAAGGCAAAACAGCAGTGGAAATTATGAAAGTGGACATCTGAAAGTCAGTGATTGAGCGTGTGTTTGCAAAAAATGATATCCATCAACCGCTCTCGCATAATTCGCAAAATAAAATAAAAACTAACCTCACACCCCAAATAAGCTTCACGTAATGGATAGAAATGGGCCTATGCTTCTAAATAATGGAACTAACCTCACACCCCAAACAAGCTTCACGTAATGGATAGAAATGGGCCTATGCTTCTAAATAATGAAACGACATATAATGGATCGCTTTACCCGCAAACCAACAATACATTCATCTTGGAGACAGACATCAAAGCCAATTGCTTTCTTCTCTTCACAATTGCCTGTCTGTCACACAACTAAATGAAAGTAGGTTTGAAATCATTCATTCCTCTTTACACTGATTAGAAAACCTTCCTACCGAGACCGTGTCTAATGCTATTCTATCCGTTGTAATGCGAAACAAATATGTCTACGCTTACCTGCTCATGCTATAAGGCTTCTGTTAAGTCTTCGTTGTTTTCTAAGCTCTTGAAATTATATCGGGTTTTACTGCAGCCATGTTACAGAAGATAAAGTCACTTGACAGAAAAACAAAGATGTAAGAATGAAATTTTGCCCCAATATTCATGTTCGTGTCCTCTTGTTTTGCTCCTAATAACGAATGATGATAATAATCTGCTATATAACCCATCTCTTTTGTTGTATCATACATTTTTTAATATGAGGTGAGGTGATATTGGGTTATACGTCGTGCTTGAGAATATTTCGCTCATATGACGACGTGCATGCGTGTGTATGTGTATGTGCGGCTGCTTGTACTAGCCCAGACTTAAGCTGGTTTTATAGTGCTAGCCCACTGAGATACCATGCCGCAGTGAAGCATGAATACCCCACTCAGACACATTATACTGACTCCGAGCCGACCAGTCCTTGTTGTACCCATTAATGCCGAGCGCAAGGCAGGGACCAACAACTACCATATTTTAACGTCTTTTGGTATGACGCGGTCGGGATCGAACCCGCGACCTTCCGCTCTCCGGGCGGACGCTCTAACCACTACACCACGGAGGCGGTCCCATTTTTAAGAGAAGAGTTCGTTTATGAAATGATATTATGCATAAGAGCATACATCCAGGTGCGCTCGTTGTAATATTTTTATTCAAATTTGAATATATGCTATTCCAAAAATATTTTCAAACATGTATAACTCGTCCACAAATAAACTTTAGTACATGAATTTTTGCATCAATTTAGAAGAGGGTAATGTCTATACAACCAAGTGGATAATTTTAGATAACGGAGATGTTGAGCGCCATGGTGACGACGTAGTACGGGCCCGACGTCGGATCTCCTGTCTCTCAGTCCAATCTCTCTCAACCTGTTCCGTACAGTTTGACCAGATATCCTCCGAAGTCCAGGCACCCTGGCTGCTGTGCTCTCACCCGTGGCAGTACGATCACGCAAATGTAGTACCCGGGTGTACCGACCATGGACACAGTGGTGACTCGAGGTCTGCCTGGGGACGGTCATTTGTTATACCTGTTTGGTTGTAACGAGCTGCAAGCAGTGATGTCGTGCTCAGACTAACATTCAGACGCATGGCAACAGAAGAATGGTAATCTTCAGCGTGCATTCTTTCAATGACGATGTTCGGTGTCGCAACGTGGCGTAATGATTTGACCTTGAAACTCCTTCAAAACGAATGCCGATTTCCGAAAGTAATCTGGATTTTTATAACCAGACAGTGCACGCCCTTTGCCTCACAATTTCAACTGGAAGGTGATTTCTGTTGCGTTGTGGTGATGCTTTTTTAATTCTTGTAAGAAATCTCATCAAAATCAACATTTTCTGGTAAAATCGATCTTTTACTTGTGCAGTTGTGTAAAATCATGTTATCAACACTTTTGTTACATATTTTGACGATTGTTTGAACACAATAGGTAATTAATAGATTTTTAAAAATACAAAACGCCTATGCGTTTCTTTTTTGGGATAGTATATGTACTGTTGGTGTTTAAAACTCCAATACGCTAATGACGCCTATATTTGATAATATGTCGAACTGATAATCAGTTATAATATAATAAGTCATCTTCTATAGCGCACAGCCTCCAAACACCCAGTGATTGCTCGCGGCGCTTAATCAGAATCTGATTCTTATTACCCCGGATAACCCAAGCTGCCTGTTAGGCGTTAGAAGGTTATAGTCACATGACTTTATCCAACCGGGTACCCATTTTCTGCTGGGTGAGCAGAGGCAATTTGAACAAACTCACTTGCCTAAAGTGAGACCACATGCATCACATGTGCTTCGTTGTGGGGCAGGACTGAAGTCCTAGAAACTCTCAGGAGTCAAGCTGCCAAACACGGTCACCCATCCAAGGATTGTCCGAGCTCGACGTTGCTTAACAGTCACCTGTTGGTGCCAGGAAACTTAAAAGAAACTCTATGCTGGCCCTCGTGTAGCTTTTATTAGTGTGACCGTTTACCTTCAATTATACCTACTTTCAGGGTAGACTTCATGATCACCTTCTATCCTGAAATAGCTGGATTTCATCTGCTCTCTTGAAATGTCTGGACTTTATCGTTGTTCCTGAAAATCTCTCCTGAAATTGTTTGATATCTTCTTCAATCATGAAATTGCTTGATTTCACCTTCTTTCCTGAAATTACTTGATTTTATCTTTCCTCCTGAAATTGCCCTGAAATTAATTGATTTCATCTTCTCTCCAGAAATTGCTGGATTTTAACTTTTCCCCTGAAATTGGATTTCATCTTCTCTCCAGAAATTGCTGGATTTTAACTTTTACCCTGAAATTGGATTTCATCTTCTCTCCCGAAATTGCTGGATTTCATCTCTTTTCTTGAATTTACTGGATTTTATATTTTCTTTTGAAATTCTCCTAAAATTGCTGGATCTTATCTTCTTTCCTAAAATTACTGGATTTTATCTTTTCTCATGAAATTCTCCTAAAATTGCTTGATTTCATCTTCTATCCTGAAATTACTTGATTTCATCAGTTCTTCTTCCCGAAGTTGCCAGATTCATCTTCTCTCCTGAATGTACTGGATTTTATGTATTCTATTGAAAATCTCTTAAAATTGCTGGATTTTATCTTCTTTCCTGAAACTGCTTGATTTCATCTTCTTTCCTAAGGTTGCTGGATTTTATCTTTTCTCCTGAAATTCTCCTGAAGTTGCTGGATTTGTTCTTTACTCCTGAAATTCTCTCCTGAAATTGCTTGATTTCATTTTCTTTCCTCAAACTGCTGGATTTTATCTTTTCTCCTGAAATTTCTGGATTATTGAATCTTCTCTCCTGGAATTGCTTGATAAAAAATTATCATATTACTGTTTTTAACCTTCTCTCTTCAAATTATCTACTGCAATTGCAGGATTAAAAAGAGACCAACATGCATGCTTCATACATGGGTTTCACATAATCAGATCATGGATTTCAGATATTAAATCTTAATATTTCAAAATGTTGGAGTTAATATTATCAATATCAATAATATCAATAAGAACGTTTATTCCGTATAATGAAAGATTAGAATTATCGTTAAAAAACGATTAACGAGATCGGGTGTTTAGTCTCGCTGACTTGATTGACACATGTCATCGTATCTCAATAGATCGATGTTCATTACTTAAACCCTTGATTGTGGGGTTCAGACTCGATTATTTACAATGACCGTCATATACCTGCAACATAGCTACACAGACTTCTTCATTAAACGACAAACACAACTATGTTCGTTCAATGCATTATGATAATCATTAAGATTCGCATAACTGTCATGGGTGCTCTGTCAATTCTTCAGAATACCTTCTGCGTTGTGACCCGACTGTTGTGTTGACGTTGTCGCCACAGATGAGGCATCTGCCTGTGGACCATTCATTGCTAAGCTACCGCTGATGCCACTACACACGCCGATCACCATTGTGCTTTGATTCAAGCCTTCTCATTTGTTCTGTGCTAGTTCGTCTTTTCCATTGTGCGTGAGACACCACGTCTATTGTTGTCTATGGTTTCGGAAAGGAGATACCTTGTATTGGTATTGTGTAAGTAGCCCTTTCTTCATTGTTGTCTATGGTCCCGACAAGGAGATACCTTGTACTGGCATTGTGTAAGTAGCCCTTTCTTCTTTGTTGTCTATGGTACCGACAAGGAGATACCTTGCATTGGTATTGTGTAAGTAGCCCTTTCTTCATTGTTGTCTATGGTCCCGACAAGGAGATACCTTGTATTAGCATTGTGTAAGTAGCCCTTTCTTCATTGTTGTCTATGGTCCCGACAAGGAGATACCTTGTATTAGCATTGTGTAAGTAGCCCTTTCTTCATTGTTGTCTATGGTCCCGACAAGGAGATACCTTGTATTGGTATTGTGTAAGTAGCCCTTTCTTCATTGTTGTCTATGGTCCCGACAAGGAGATACCTTGTATTGGTATTGTGTAAGTAGCCCTTTCTTCATTGTTGTCTATGGTCCCGACAAGGAGATACCTTGTATTACTATTGTGTAAGTAGCCCTTTCTTCTTTGTTGTCTATGGTCCCGGCAAGGAGATACCTTGTATTGGTATTGTGTAAGTAGCCCTTTCTTCTTTGTTGTCTATGGTCCCGACAAGGAGATACCTATGCTACAGTAGACTCAGGGGTTCGTCACAAAGGTATAATTTCAGGCCACCTCTTGCAACCATCCACAACCTGTAGTCGGTATAGCTCACAATAGTTTCAGGTGATGTAATAATAGTTCCCAGGGCCGGAATACTTCGTTCTGGGATATTAAAAGCACACTGTTCCGAAACAGTATAACCAGGATTAGTCAGTTCTCTGCCTCATACATCATAATTAAGGTATTGTTCATGCATTGAATATAGGAAGTGTATTTATCTTGAGTATTAAGCATTTGTTCACAGACGTAGTAGTATAAGCTGTAATTTATATTCGAAATATGACCACTGTATGATGCTCTGTGGAAGTATTAATTTAATTTTAACCTATATGATGCTTTGTGTAGGAATTTAAACCTATGTGGTATTTTCTGAAAGTATTAGACCTGTATGATGCTATGTGAAAATATTACACCTGTATGATGCTTTGTGAAAGTTTTACACCTGTATGATGCTTTGTGAAATTATTAAACCTGTATGATGTTATGTGAAAGCATTAAACCTGTATGATGCTTTGTGAAAGTATTAAGCCTGTATCAGGCTATGAACAAACTCACTTGCCTAAGGTGAGACCACATGTATCAATGTGTTTCGTTGTGGGGCAGGACTGAAGTCATAGAAACTCTCAGGAGTCAAGTGGCCAAACACGGTCACCCATCCAAGGATTGTCCGAGCTCGACGTTGCTTAACTTCACCGATTCGTGACCTGAGCTCTACGCACAGGACCACACACCACCACAAATTCGTTTATCACATGTGTGCCTTGTGTGTAACGAGTGAGTGATTGTAGCCTTTCCCATTCAACATCAAGGGCATGCCACAGCGTTCTATAAACTGTCACAGTAGACCAGACAATGAATAGGTGAATGAGTCACAGAAGTCGCACACTTGTTCGATGTTTTTCAGCCTATTCCAGGCATGTTAGTTCAGTGAAGGCTTATTGTTCTATGTGACGCGATTCTTAAATGTTTACCAGTTCCGAAAACTGAAGAACAATTGTCTTGTGCGCACAACCCCTTTGATTGTAATCATGGCGAAACCTCGGATTTGAAGCAAAGAACACCTTTGCACTGGTTTAAATCACTTGGCCATCTGTGTTCTTTTGAACAAGAAGACACGGTCAGCCAGGGCAGTGTAATACCCCCATTTCACTGATCTGCGATCGGTCCCGATTAATTTTTTTCGAAAAGTCGTAGTTTAATCGTATTAAATCCATCTGGAATGGGTAGTGACACAGTCGATCGCCATCTTCCAGAAATCTAAAGCTCCAATGTGTTAAAGTAATTGACGTTTCAGCGAGACATATAAAAACATGTGTCGTGGAATGTTGTTAAACAATTGTCCCTGTTTTGCTTCAGACGTCCAGACATGAAGTGCGTGCTATCGCTGTGGCTGTCGGTGTTGTACGTCGTGTGCTGCCACCTCCAGGTGACGTCGGGGTCAGATGTGTTCCTCGTGAAGGTTGTGTCGTCGCAGAGAGTATGTGACCGGCTGTGTGTCTACACCTCACGGTGCCAAGCGTATCACTGGGACGACACTACCAGAGCTTGTCACCTTTCAACACAACCTTCATCTACTAATACCGACTTCACAAATTACAAGGTAACTTTGCTACTTTAAGAGAAGTAAAATAAGTGTTGATTCAAATATGATCGTATATTGTTTCCTAAATTCCGTCTTGATACACGTGGGTATTGACAAAGCAATTCAATCACTGCATTTGATCGTATTTAATTTACTCAGTGAACGCTGATCGTTTGAAGAGGATGTCGTTACCGATTAGAACGGTGTCATTTATAGTTAACGCATTATTGCACAGGAGTTTTTGCTTGAAAGGTATGGACGCCCGCAGGGCCAATAAATGATCACTCAATATATGGATTACAATAGGAGGGAAACACCCATAACAGTACTTTTCCAAGCTAAATCTTTAATGATTTCATATTTGTCAATATATAATTACTGTAAGTAATAAATGTTTTTTTTCCCACTGTATCTCTCTTGTGGCCTTAAATAAACACGTTGCTAACACATGTATATCAAGTGAAACACGTTTTGTTGCATTGTCCCAGTTACACCGATGCCAGAGATGATCTCTACAAGACTTGTTTTACAAATTGGTCTTTTAAGTTTTATTCTTTTAATGATATGCTGAAAGTAGGTTTATTCTTTCCATACCAGAAGTAATGTTAGCTACTGTCAAGGCCTGCACGTTTATTTTATCTATTCGTAAATATAAGTTGTTATACAACAATGGATAGATCTTCTTGCCATTTTATATCTTACCCCTTTTACTCTGGATATATGTTAATTTCCTTATAGCTCATTTAAAATATTTGTATGGCGTATTTTGCCAGCATTTACATGTATATACTAGCATGTGATTTGTGCATTTTGTATCTTATTTGCTACTGTGATGTATTTGATAGCTCCTGTGATTAATTGTATATTTTACAGTCTCTCATAACTCTTACATAGAGTGGCTTGTTACATTTAATCTGCTTTATGTATGTTTTAGAATTGTAATGCCTATTGTAACAATGAGAGACTTTAATAAGCAATATGTCTGTCTGTCTGTCTCTGACTGTCTGTCTGTCTGTCTGTCATCTTGGGGCTGTGTGGCAACTGATGAACGTCCACACGTCCACTGCAATTATAAGAGAAGAACACAGTTAGCTGAAGTGATGTAGTAAAATAGTGGATTTTTATTCCGTTACAAACTGAGTAGGGGGAACTTTCGATTTGTACCACGCACTGATCATTCTTCGTGTTGACAACCACGCACTGATCATTCTACGTGTTGAGAACCACGCACTGATTATGCTACGTGTTGAGAATCACGCACTGATCATTTTACGTGTTGAGAACCACGCACTGATCATTCTTCGTGTTGAGAACCACGCATTGATCATTCTTCGTGTTGAGAACCAAGCACTGATCGTTCTAGATATTGAGCACCAAGCACTGATCATTGCACATGTTGAGAACCACGCACTGATCATTCTACGTGTTGAGAACCACGCACAGATCGTTCTACGTGTTGAGAATCACGCACTGATCATTCTACGTGTTGAGAACCACGCACTGATCATTCTTCGTGTTGAGAACCACGCACTGATCATTCTACGTGTTGAGAACCACGCACAGATCGTTCTACGTGTTGAGAACCACGCACTGATCATTCTAGATATTGAGAACCACGCACTGATCATTGTAGATATTGAGTACCACGCACTGATCATTCTAGATATTGAGTACCACGCACTGATCATTAAACGTGTTCAGAACCGCGCACTGATCGTTCTAGATATTGAGTACCACACACTGATCATTCTACGTGTTGAGAATCACGCTCTGATCATCCTACGTGTTGAGAACCACGCACTGATCATCCTACGTGTTGAGAACCACGCACTGATCATCCTATGTGTTGAGAACCGTGCATTGATAATTCTCTGTGTTGAAAACCACGCACGGATCATTCTACGTGTTGAGAACCGCGCACTGATCATTCTACATGTTGAGAACCTCGCTCCTCATCATTCTACTTTTGTGAGCCACGCACTGATCATTCTACGTGTTGAGAACCGCGCACTGATCGTTCTCTGTGTTGAAAACCAAGCACTGATCATTCTACGTGTTGAGAACTTCGCTTCTCATCATTCTACGTGTTATGAACCACGCACTGATCATCCTACGTGTTGAAAACAACGCACTGATAATTTTATGTGTTGAAAACCACGCACTGATCATCCTATGTGGTGAAAACTACGCACTGATCATTCTATGTGTTGAAAACCACGCACCGTTCATTCTACGTGTTGAGAACCACGCACTGATCATTCTACGTGTTGAGAACCACGCACTGATCATCCTACGTGTTGAGAACCACGCACTGATTATTCTATGTGTTGAAAACCGCGCACTGATCACTCTATGTGTTGAGAACCACGCACTGATCATTCTATGCGTTGAAAACCACACGCTAAACCAAGTATGTTAAAATTTTTGGAATTATTAAGAAACCCATCTAAAGAGAGTATTGCAAAATTATGTAAATGCATAAAGTTATGCAAATTAGTGTGCGATGCTATTTTATTACAAAGGACCCCTTTTAAATGCTCACTTTGAAATTAGACTTATCTTCATCATAAACGATAGCTGACGTAAACAATACTAACTTTAATACTGAAGCTATTAAGTAGCTACCATGGAGTCTCACTATCACTATAAAAAGAAACAGGTAGGAGGGGTCGTCTCAAACGGTGTGTCAGGACGGGTGTCACAGACAGTGGTTGGGGTCGGGCTGGGGGATAGAGATATCAGCTGAGATAAGATAATCCTTCAGGGGAAATAAACTGGGGAAGCAAGGAAGCAAGCGGCATGTCAAAACAATTTACAAAGAATATCCAGTCCTGTCGATCATCGAGTGGTCATGCCACCTATATATTTTGAGACATTTAATAACGATGGCTGATTTAAGCTTTTCTATGGGTAACATACTCGTTTACATGTCTCAACATAAACTTTATGAAAGAAAGACACGTAAGATGTTCATCAATAGATGAGATATATTCAACACACATGAGAAAGCACAAAATATCTTTGAGATGACCTTGAGCCCGTAGGCAGCACATGCATTTCATGCCAGGTGAGTCGACGGTCCGTCGTCATACCTGGCTGAGCGACCTAATTGCTATCTATAGTCTGATCTATCATTTTCAGCAGCTACCGGTAAGTTTTGCCCGATTTTACGAGTAAACATGTTTTTCTGGATATCCTATTACGCATCCCGCTGAACGCCCAGTTAGGCAGATGTGGGTTATTTCGACATATGCTATTTGCAATTGTGTCAGTTTTAGGGATACAGAGTAACAGCCTAAAAACAGTTTTTTTTCTATTTCCGACAGTACTTTAGTGATAGCTCTGCTCCGTTCCAGTTGTCAACAACGATTTATTGACAGTTATTAATAAGATCTCATCGTATGGATATCTAAATTATTATCTGATGCAGGCGATCAAATCTGTTGCCAAGATTGTAATATTTTTCTTTTGGGAAGAATTATTTAGATCATCATCTATTTAGTCTTTTGATCTTGATAGCATATATAAAGCTTACAAGGACACACACCAAAAGATCTTATGAAATGTTCTTAAGTGGAGGGGCGGTGGGGTAGCCTAATAGTTAAAGCGTTCACTCGTCACGCGGAAGACCCGGGTTCGATTCCCCACATGGGTACAATGTGTGAAGCCCATTTCTGGTGCCCCTGCAGTGATATTAATTAAAGTGGCGTAAAATAATACTCACTCACTCACTCACTCACTCACTCACTCACTCACTCACTCACTCACTCACTCACTCACTCACCCACTCACCCCCACCCACCCAAAACTCACTCACTCACTCACTCCTCCTAAGTGGAAACGTTCGTGTAAATGGTATATACTTCAGGTCCAAAACGCAATTCATCATCGATTAACCATAGGCATTTAATATTTTGTTTGATCCATAACCGCTATTAAACATTGGTGTCTACTTTCCTCTACCAGGCTGTCTATTTTAGTACCATGGACACGTTTTAAATGTTTACGAGTATTTGCAACGGTTTTAAATCAAATTTCATTTTATGATGTTCATTTTGCTCAAACATTTAAGTAAAAGTGAGTGAGTGAGCATATTTTTACTTCGCTTTTAGCAATATTCCAGCAATATGGGGACACCAGAAATGGGCTTCACACATTGTACCCATGTGGGGAATCGAACCCGAGTCTTCGGCGTGACGAGCGAATGCTTTAACCACTAGGCTACCCCTCCGCCCCTTAAGTAAAAGTAAAAACAGTGGTGTGGTTGTGCTGTTTAATCTGGACTGCAAGTGTAGAACATGACGTCGAGAGACATTTGCTTGCTTGAAAATAACATCATACGTTCTCGATAAAGGGTTGTTTTTCAGGAATTATATGATCAATTCCTTTATGGTCTCAAATTACACATGGCGATCAACGATTAATTGATTAGCAGTCAAGTGCTGTTGAAGCATGACACATGTCGGGTTTCTTTGAGGAACAAATATACACACGTATTGATGTCCTCCAAAACGTGTTGTGACTATTGATGCTGACCTCATATCCCCACAACAGATATGGATAATTGAGTCAGTGTATATGAAAACTGTGTTTACATATCGATATTGAAGATGAGACGTATGTTTATCGCAAAATATTTCATACGGTCAATGCAAACAGGCACACTTGTGTATATTTGGTGAGTTTCTATTACATTTGTAAATGAAAACATGAGTTCTACTGAAATGTCAGTCACCAGATCGACAGTTCAACAGTTCACTGAGCAACTCGTATCCAGAATATATTTCTTTCTTTAAGGCACGACATTGCGTTTCAATAGAGATTGGAATGATGTGTGCGACTTGCGTTTGTGCAATTCCGGTTCAAATGAATGCACCCTGAAAGTTTGTTCTATTTCTTTGTTTGTTGTTTTACGCCGCACTCAGCAATATTCCAGCCATTTGGCGGCGGTCTGTAAATAATCGAGTCTGAACCAGACAATCCAATGATCAACAGCATGAACATCGATCTAGACAATTGGAATACGATGACATGTGTCAAGCATTGGTTGCTGAAGGCCAGTTCTAAACGTATCGTTACGGGTCCACCCTCAAACACTGGTGTCACTTGTGTTTATATGATGTGCCCAGTGTATTAACCCTAGCGCGGCGGGGCGGTGGGGTAGCCTAGTGGTTAAAGCGTTCAATCGTCACGCGGAAGACCCGGATTCGATTCCCCATATGGGTACAATGTGTGAAACCCATTTTTGGTATCCCCCGCCGTGATAAAAGCGGCGTAAAACTAGAATATTGCCAAAAGCGGCGTAAAACTCACTCACTCACTCACTCACTCACTCAGCGTCACTCACCGGCTGCAGGGGAACTCCTCACTCGGATATAGTCACCGGCTTAAGCGAGTATTCTGCGATACGCAGGTTTAACCGATACAACGATACGATGTCCTGATACAACGTTACCTTTCACGTGTTGTTTGCCAAGGTTCTGCTTTCCCTCCATGTCTTTTCCTGATGTTGAACCTGTCTTGTTTCATACTTAGATCAATGTGCAACTTGACCTGAGCTACTCTACATATGCATGACCCGGGAGGTCAAATGGCACAAACGGCAGATCCGGTTATCTTCATTAAAAAGGGGTGCAGAGAATGTTATTACTGTTGCGTTCTTGCGAAGCATACATAGATTCGTTACAGAACTTGTCCCGGAAAACAACACCTCTGAAAAAAAACAATCATGTGATGTTTCAATTGACTTGTTTATACAGTCATATGCTATCTAGTTGGGTTTGCTAACTTTACAACTTACAGACGTCAGTTACTTTCTCAATCCGATTCACTCTCGCTATCACTCTCTATACCCACTTCAGTTATCTCTTTACCTATTTCATGTTCAGCTGCAATATTTCTGTCCCAGTAGTCGCTTTCCAAATTTTCAACATGGGCACAACAACCAGTCCACTCGTGTACACCAATCATCTGACAAATGTGCGCCCTTTCATAATAATAGACCCAACCAATTGTGACACGGTCACGCAATTCATTAGTATTCACTTGATCAGGTCAAGCTGACCAAGCTGTACAAGTATCCAGTGTGGCACCAAAACTCTCCTCAAGGCTGTATGACAAAAGGGATGACTTCCCTCCATATCGAGCAGGGTTCCAGCAGTACAAGTCTTTGGCGGTTCACGTTTTTGTTAACCAAGATTTCAAAGAGAGCCACACTATTCTTGCTCGGAAGTTGTTCAATCAAAGTTACAACTCTTCAAGGCCTTCAAGTGAGTTATTGACAAGCCTTTGCGTGTCTTTATGACGAGTACCACCGGTTGGCCCGGACACGCTCAACATTTTACGACCACCATTCAAGGCCTTCAAGTTAATTATTCAAATTCAAATTCGAATCTTTATTCCTATAGTGAGTGAGTGAGTGAGTGAGTATGGTTTTATATTCCAGCAATATCGGCGAGGGACACCATAAATGGGCCTATAGTACAATCCAATATTAATACAATATAAACTTTCATGGAACATATACATGCTTACATTAAATCATACCATGTGTAGTTATTAATGTATTGTTTTATTTATCAAGAGCGGGCTCAATAAATTAACACTGATAATTCACGACTGCACATATACTGAGTCAAAAAGAAACTTCACATTCTTTCTTCAGGGCACTATAAAAGAACAAGAGAGGGTAAGATGGTTAAATTGTTATTATTTCATTGCTGAGATCTGTGTGATGTACTCGATACACTGACAGTGCCATAATCAGTTCCATTAGGCTACACCGCCGTTCCAAAACATGGGTATACAGAATGTCAAGTCACAAGAATAAAAATGCGAAATTTCTCAGTTCAATATCGTGTATGGCCGCCCCGCGCATTCACCACTGCCAAACACCGTCTCCTCATCGACTGCCTGATGCTTGTGAACACGTGGTTGGGGATTCTGCGCCATTGCTTTTGCAAGGCAGCGCCAAGTTCCTGCAAATTCTGAGGTTGGTTCCTAAGACCACGAAGCCTTCTCCAGAGTGCATCCCAAACGTGCTCTATTGGATTAAGGTCAGGGGACCTCGATGGCCAGTCCATGACGTTGATTCCAGCGTTTTGAAGGAAATTTCGTGTCAACATCAGGGTATGCGGCCGAGCATTATCATGCTGGAACTGTAGACCTGGGCCATGAGCCGCCATGAAAGGAACGAGTTCAGGGGTGAGCATCTGGTCGCGGTAAGCGGTCACGGATGACCAGAAGTCGGGAACGGTTGTTCCCACAGAAAGCACCCCACACCATGCAACTTCCGCCCCCGAATCTGTCGACTTCCTGTACACAACATTGGGCATACCGTTCACGACGTCTTCTCTAGACTCTATGCCTGCCGTCCGCGAATCTGAGGGTAAACCTGGATTCATCGCTAAAGACGACTCGATTCCAGTCTCTCTGGGTCCATCGGAGGTGACGTTGGGCCCACAGCAGACGTTGACGTTGATGAAACGGCGTCAATATTGGCCCACGATATGGACGTCGAGAATGGAGATTGGCAGCCCGCAACCGATTTCGAATGGTCTGTGAGGACAGTCGACCCCCAAACATCTCAGCCCTGGTTCGTGTAGCCGGCAGAAATCTGTCACGTAGGTGACGTAGGACGATTTGACGGTCTTCTGCTCGTGACGTCACACGTGGACGACCCGACCTTGGGCGATCAGAAGTGGTGCCAGTTTGTTGTGAACGACCTCGCAAGTCATACACAGTACGATGGCTGCATTCTATTGCTCTTGCGACGTCAATAACTGATCTTCCTGCTTGCAACATCCAACGGCACGTTCACGTTGCACATTTGACAATCGTGGCATTTCAAGTACCATTAGAACTGTGGTTTAAAAGTGTTTTTTCAATTCTTGAGGCCAATGTAAACACGTGCATATGAAGAAAAACTTCGATGCGAAGATCACGTGATCGACTGCACGTGCAAAACCTGATTTGGCACTAACGTCATTTGCACGACGAATGGATGGGTTTGAGTGGGTTTTGCTAACGTTTTTCTAGAGTCGACAGATAGGGATCCCATTTCGGATACATAGATGTATCATCAGAGAAAAATTATTCATTATTTTTCAAATTACATTTTGTGAAGTTTCTTTTTTGACTCAGTATATATGTCTTTCAACCTTAAGTTTGTGTCAGTGACATGATAAAATTGCATCGAGAGTTAACTTTTTGATTATTCCATGCATTTCCAAAACCTATTTTAGAGAGCAGTTGTCTCACCCCCGAAACCCGTTTTGTTTTCCATAATTGTTATATATACTCATGCCAATAATGGCTGTCACCCCCTCCCCACCCCAACCCACACACCCCACCCACCCACCCACACACCCCACATAAATAAAATTGAAGGGGTGACAACCATTATTGGCATGAGTATAAGATGATCATATTATAACATTTTTGGGGTATTCTATATAGAGGCATATCTAAATGTTTTAACCAATATTTGACAACATATATGTAAGAGTAAAAAGACAGTGAGTCATTGACGAGCCTTTGCATGTCTTTATGATGGGCACGCTCACCTTTGCGCAAACACCTCTTATCATCGATATTTTTATAGTACAACATATAAGCATGATATTTGGCAGATAATTCTTATGGATGTGGAAAGGATTTGTCGTGTATATTAACGAGATATCACGTTTAATTATAAGCGTCCACTCGTTAGTACACACGTGCAATCAAAGTGTGAGTGAGTTTAGTTTTGCGCCGCTTTTAGTAATATTCTAGCAATATCACGGCGGGGGACACCAGAAATGGGCTTCACACATTGTACCCATGTGGGGAATCGAACCCGGGTCTTCCGCGTGACGATTGAACGCTTTAAACAGAAACGATCCAGATAATTATCGGGGTATATCATTAATGAGTATCTTGGAGAAAGTATTTACGTTGATATTGAACAATAGACTATCAAACTGGGCGAATATGCATGATAAGATTCCTGAATCCCAGGCAGGATTTAGAAAGGGATATTCTACCACTGATCATATATTTACTCTGTATGCACTAGTCCAAAAATCACTATCAAAAAGAAAACATAAGCTGTACATAGCATTTGTAGATTTTAAAAAGGCATTCGACTCAGTCAATCGTTTTAAATTATGGCAGTGTTTACGCAAGGCAGGTTTACGAGGGAAAATGGTTAGCATCCTCAAATCAATGTATTCTAACGTTCGATCTTGTGTGCGTTGCAAAGACGAGGTTACAGATTTTTTCGATTGCCCACTTGGTTTAAGACAAGGTTGCTGCTTAAGTCCACTCCTATTTTCCTTCTTCATTAGTGAATTATATCACGATATCAATTTAGCTGGAAAACTCACGATATGAATATTACAGGACCTTTAAAACGTTACTCCAGCCAGAAAAATACTTATCAATAATTACAACATATAGTTTAAGAACAATGTTCGTAAAGTATCGTTTAGGTTTGTTATCTTTAATGATTAATGAGGGTAGAAAAACCTCTGTCCAGAAAGAAAGTCGATATTGTCCTTTGTGTAACGTTGGAATAGAAAATGAAATTCATTTTACCCTGATATGTCCTTGTTATCACGAATTAAGACAGAAATATATACCGCACCATCTTCTTGCAAAGCAGCCCCATTATGCATATATATCTTTGTTACAAACCAATAATGAAAATATTCTTGCTCAATTGTCCTTATATATATAATATGCATTAGCTAAAAGAGATCTTCTTATAAAGCGAATTGTATACCCTTAAATATATATGTAAATATCCAGAATATTCCTTTATCACTGTAACTCTCATGTATATTTGGGCCGGAGGCCGTTCATACAATAAACATCTTTTGACTTGACTTTGACCACTAGGTTACCCGACCGCTCCTGCAACCACAGACCAGAAGGTTATTTTAATACATACGTTGGGAAGAACCTTGGTACTTTTCCTGATATTTCAACTTTGACAACATTTTGTTTTTAAGGCTCACACTGGCCAATGTGGACATCGTCTGTGCGCCCAGACGGAGACGTGTGTTCCTGTTAAATCAGCAACTGCCTACATCTGTCTGGAGGCGACGTTACCGACTTCAGTTCCTGCTACAACTGCCACCCCGTTGATGTCAACTACAACGTCTGTGCCGGCTGTGACAACAACCTCCTACACATCTCCAAGTGAAACTACTGCTTCCGTTCCGCCATCTACAACCACCACCACAACTACCACGGCAACACTGACAACAACGACTTCATCTCCCGCTACAACTACTGCTACATACACGTCAACTACAACGTCTTTGCCTGCTGTTACAACAACCTCCTACACATCTCCAAGTGAAACTACTGCTTCCGTTCCGTCAACTACAACCACCACCACAACTACCCCAAGTCCCACGACACCATTGACAACAACGACAGCATCTCCCGCTACAACTACTACTATATACACGTCAACTACAACGTCTTTGCCGGCTGTGACAACAACCACCTACACATCTCCAAGTGAAACTACTGCTTCCGTTCCGTCAACTACAACCACCACCACAACTACCACGGCAACACTGACAACAACGACTTCATCTCCCGCTACAACTACTACTACATACACGGCAACTACACTTCATCTCCGCTACACTACGTCAACAAGTGAAACTACTTCCTTTGCCATCTACAGCCACCACCACAACTACCACGGCAACACTGACCACCTTCATCTCCCGCTACAACTACTACTACATACACGTCAACTACAACTTCTTTGCCTGCTGCAACAACAACCACCTACATGTCTCCAAGTGAAACTACTGCTTACGTTCCGCCATCTACAACCACAACTACCCCAAGTCCCACGACACCACTGACAACAACGACTGCATATCCAAATACATCTCCAAATACAACTCTTACTACCGATGCGCCATCTACAACCACAACTACATCGATATCAACTACATCCATTACCTTTACAACTACAACTACACCGACAACGACACATACACAAACTACATGGACTACAATAAGTACCACCACTGCACCATCGAGTACCTCCACAACTACCACAACTACAACTCCCACCACTACAACGACGACCATCACCACAGTTACAACGACATCAGGTACTAAGGATTATTCTTTTTGCCAAAATTATTACATGGTCATTCTATTGATTGTTGTTTAACGCCGCCCCAGATAGCCTAGTTGTTTTATATATCACGGCAGTCTGGACTAGACAATCTATTGATTGAGGGATACCAAGCTTTTTGTTTTCATTAAGCCAGGCCGTCCCATTCATTAAGTCTCTGACGACCAACATAGGAATCCCCAGGATGCCCATGCTGCTTCTGTGGGGGAGGGTGTAGCAGGGAGTGAGTGAGTGAGTGAGTTTAGTTTTACGCTGCACTCAGCCATTTCCATCTGTAAATAATCGAGTCTGGACCAGACAATCGAGTGACATGCATGTGTCAATCAAGTCAGCGAGCCTGACCACCAGATCCCATTAGTCGCCTCTTACGACAAGCATGGGTTACTGAAGACCAATTCTATCCTGGATCTTCACGGGTCTGGGCGTGTGTGTGCATGGGCGTTGGCTTTTGAATAATTTTTGTGCGCCCTACAAACTGAATCCCGACCCCTATACGAGAAACGAAAAGGCCTTCTCTGAGAGACAAACACTGTCTTTTATCACATGTTGCGCATCGTTGATAATCTTTACTAGTTCACCCGTCAAATTCGGTTTAGTATTGGTTTTCAGCAACCCATGCTTCAGGCTGGCTTACTTGGTTGACACACGTCATCGTAACCCCATTTCGTAGATCGATGCTCATGCTGTTGATCACTGGATTGTCTGGTCTGGACTTGATTGTTTACAGCCATATAGCTTGAATATGGCTGATGTGACGTAAAACTAAACTCAATCACTGAAACACTCACTAGACTAGCCCTTGTGGGGCTACGCGGTTGCTATCCTAACACGTTGAGGGGCCATGTAACACTCGGAACTGCACTACTGAAAACAGTCGGTTATCCTAGCATTGTGATATCATTTATGTGGAACTGCACTACTGAAAACACTCGGTTATCCTAGCATTGTGATATCATTTATGTGGTGCACTACTAAAACCACTTGGTTATGCTAGCATTGTGATATCATTTATGTGGAACTGCACTACTGAAAACACTCGGTTATCCTAGCATTGTGATATCATTTATGTGGAACTGCACTACTGAAAACACTCGGTTATCCTAGCATTGTGATATCATTTATGTGGAACTGCACTACTGAAAACACTCGGTTATCCTAGCATTGTGATATCATTTATGTGGAACTGCACTACTGAAAACACTCGGTTATCCTAGCATTGTGATATCATTTATGTGGAACAGCACTACTGAAAACACTCGGTTATCCTAGCATTGTGATATCATTTATGTGGAACTGCACTACTGAAAACACTCGGTTATCCTAGCATTGTGATATCATTTATGTGGAACTGCACTACTGAAAACACTCGGTTATCCTAGCATTGTGATATCATTTATGTGGAACTGCACTACTGAAAACACTCGGTTATCCTAGCATTGTGATATCATTTATGTGGAACTGCACTACTGAAACCACTTGGTTATGCTAACATAGTGATATCATTTTTGTGGAACTGCACTACTGAAAACACTCGGTTATCCTAGCATTGTGATATCATTTATGTGGAACTGCACTACTGAAAACACTCGGTTATCCTAGCATTGTGATATCATTTATGTGGAACTGCACTACTGAAAACACTCGGTTATCCTAGCATTGTGATATCATTTATGTGGAACTGCACTACTGAAAACACTCGGTTATCCTAGCATTGTGATATCATTTATGTGGAACTGCACTACTGAAAACACTCGGTTATCCTAGCATTGTGATATCATTTATGTGTGGTCATGTTACTAAAACCACTTGGTTGTGCTAACATAGTGATATCATTTTTGTGGAACTGCACTACTGAAAACACTCGGTTATCCTAGCATTGTGATATCATTTATGTGGAACTGCACTACTGAAAACACTCGGTTATCCTAGCATTGTGATATCATTTATGTGGAACTGCACTACTGAAAACACTCGGTTATCCTAGCATTGTGATATCATTTATGTGTGGTCTTGTTACTAAAACCACTTGTTTGTGCTAACATAGTGATATCATTTTTTATGGAACTGCACTACTGAAAACACTCGGTTATCCTAGCATTGTGATATCATTTATGTGGAACTGCACTACTGAAAACACTCGGTTATCCAAGCATTGTGATATCATTTATGTGGAACTGCACTAATGAAAACACTCGGTTATCCTAGCATTGTGATATCATTTATGTGGAACTGCACTACTGAAAACACTCGGTTATCCTAGCATTGTGATATCATTTATGTGGAGCTGCACTACTGAAAACACTCGGTTATCCTTGCATTGTGATATCATTTATGTGGAACTGCACTACTGAAAACACTCGGTTATTCTAGCATTGTGATATCATTTATGTGGAACTGCACTACTGAAAACACTCGGTTATCCTAGCATTGTGATATCATTTATGTGGAACTGCACTACTGAAAACACTCGGTTATCCTAGCATTGTGATATCATTTATGTGGAACTGCACTACTGAAAACACTCGGTTATCCTAGCATTGTGATATCATTTATGTGGAACTGCACTACTGAAAACACTCGGTTATCCTAGCATTGTGATATCATTTATGTGTGGTCATGTTACTAAAACCACTTGTTTGTGCTAACATAGTGATATCATTTTATGGAACTGCACTACTGAAAACACTCGGTTATCCTTGCATTGTGATATCATTTATGTGGAACTGCACTACTGAAAACACTCGGTTATCCTAGCATTGTGATATCATTTATGTGGAACTGCACTACTGAAAACACTCGGTTATCCTAGCATTGTGATATCATTTATGTGTGGTCATGTTACTAAAACCACTTGGTTGTGCTAACATAGTGATATCATTTTTGTGGAACTGCACTACTGAAAACACTCAGTTATCCTAGCATTGTGATATCATTTATGTGGAACTGCACTACTGAAAACACTCGGTTATCCTAGCATTGTGATATCATTTATGTGGAACTGCACTACTGAAAACACTCGGTTATCCTAGCATTGTGATATCATTTATGTGGAACTGCACTACTGAAAACACTCGGTTATCCTAGCATTGTGATATCATTTATGTGGAACTGCACTACTGAAAACACTCGGTTATCCTAGCATTGTGATATCATTTATGTGGAACTGCACTACTGAAAACACTCGGTTATCCTAGCATTGTGATATCATTTATGTGGAACTGCACTACTGAAAACACTCGGTTATCCTTGCATTGTGATATCATTTATGTGGAACTGCACTACTGAAAACACTCGGTTATCCTAGCATTGTGATATCATTTATGTGGAACTGCACTACTGAAAACACTTCGGTTATCCTAGCATTGTGATATCATGTATGTGTGGTCTTGTTACTAAAACCACTTGTTTGTGCTAACATAGTGATATCATTTTATGGAACTGCACTACTGAAAACACTCGGTTATCCTTGCATTGTGATATCATTTATGTGGAACTGCACTACTGAAAAAAACACTCGGTTATCCTAGCATTGTGATATCATTTATGTGGAGCTGCACTACTGAAAACACTCGGTTATCCTTGCATTGTGATATCATTTATGTGGAACAGCACTACTGAAAACACTCGGTTATCCTAGCATTGTGATATCATTTATGTGGAACTGCACTACTGAAAACACTCGGTTATCCTAGCATTGTGATATCATTTATGTGGAACTGCACTACTGAAAACACTCGGTTATCCTAGCATTGTGATATCATTTATGTGGAACTGCACTACTGAAAACACTTCGGTTATCCTAGCATTGTGTGATATCATGTATGTGTGGTCTTGTTACTAAAACCACTTGGTTGTGCTAACATAGTGATATCATTTTTGTGGAACTGCACTACTGAAAACACTCGGTTATCCTAGCATTGTGATATCATTTATGTGGAACTGCACTACTGAAAACACTCGGTTATCCTAGCATTGTGATATCATTTATGTGGAACTGCACTACTGAAAACACTTCCGGTTATCCTAGCATTTGTGATATCATGTATGTGTGGTCTTGTTACTAAAACCACTTGTTTGTGCTAACATAGTGATATCATTTTTATGGAACTGCACTACTGAAAACACTCCAGTTATCCTAGCATTGTGATATCATTTATGTGGAACTGCACTACTGAAAACACTCGGTTATCCAAGCATTGTGATATCATTTTATGTGGAACTGCACTAATGAAAACACTCGGTTATCCTAGCATTGTGATATCATTTATGTGGAACTGCACTACTGAAAACACTCGGTTATCCTAGCATTTGTGATATCATTTATGTGGAGCTGCACTACTGAAAACACTCGGTTATCCCTTGCATTTGTGATATCATTTATGTGGAACTGCACTACTGAAAACACTCGGTTATTCTAGCATTGTGATATCATTTATGTGGAACTGCACTACTGAAAACACTCGGTTATCCTAGCATTGTGATATCATTTATGTGGAACTGCACTACTGAAAACACTCGGTTATCCTAGCATTGTGATATCATTTATGTGGAACTGCACTACTGAAAACACTCGGTTATCCTAGCATTGTGATATCATTTATGTGGAACTGCACTACTGAAAACACTCGGTTATCCTAGCATTGTGATATCATTTATGTGTGGTCATGTTACTAAAACCACTTGGTTGTGCTAACATAGTGATATCATTTTTGTGGAACTGCACTACTGAAAACACTCGGTTATCCTTGCATTTGTGATATCATTTATGTGGAACTGCACTACTGAAAACACTCGGTTATCCTAGCATTGTGATATCATTTATGTGGAACTGCACTACTGAAAACACTTCGGTTATCCTAGCATTGTGATATCATGTATGTGTGGTCTTGTTACTAAAACCACTTGTTTGTGCTAACATAGTGATATCATTTTATGGAACTGCACTACTGAAAACACTCAGTTATCCTAGCATTG